GACGTAAGCATTTATCATAAAAGAATTTCCAGCCTCACAGTTCTCATAAATATGTACGCATTAACAGTAATAACAGTGTGTCTGCTCCCGCAACCCCCCCCCCCCACACACACAAACACACACACACACACACACACATATATTCTTATCCACCAACACACCCCCCCCCCACACACACACTTACCTACCCCATCCCTTCCCCCACACCCTCACGACACGTACCTCCCACAAAGACCCAGACAGACTTCCAGACAATCTCAACAAACAAGATTACACGCCGCGGCCTCTGTAGGAGGCAAATTGATACAGACCATAAATCCCAAAAAGACTATGTAGTAACCGTTTATTTGGCTTAAATTGGTGAGTCAATTTCCTCTCCCTGGTAGAATCTGTAGTTCTGCGTGTGGTATCAGTAACCGTTAGTGTCTGTGGGAGGAGATAATGAACGATTACAGGTAATAGCGGAAACCTCAGTCCTTGTCTACTTCTCGAAGCATGATTCCTCGTTGTTACCACTTTATCAAATCATTGCCGCTATGGGCATTTTTTTAATTTTGATGCTTAGAGAGTCACAGAGTTTGAAGAAATACCAACAGCGTTTGTGATCCGCGCAATTTACCGATCGGCGCAAACTTGCGCAGCGCGTTTTAACGATCGAATAATAGTATCATTCTTGCGAGTTCTTCAGTTTCAATAACTTAATTTTGATTTAAATTTTGATACTTTCACAATTTTGAAACGAGTAAAAAAAATAAAGATAGAAGTGAATGTAAAAAAACCACCACAAAATTATGTTGAAAATATGAAATAAACTAAGTGTACTTTGTGAACTTTGAGTTTGATACCTGGCGTAGCATCATTCTTGTAAGCTCTTCAAAAGTATAAATATTAACGCAATCTTCAGATTTCCCAGCAACTAGATCTCTACGATCGTGAAAACGCGCAGCGCAATTTTATGCGCCGATCTCTAAATTGCGCGGAACAGATGCACTTTGCAGGCTCTCGTGGCCTAGAGGTTAAGGTGTTGGCCTCTCATTCAAAGGTCCCGGGTTCGAATCCGGGTAGCGACCAAAAATTGTTCTTCTCTAAAATTGTCTCCTTTCACCTCCCTTCCTGTCCTCTAGCAATGTTCTGCTGTCTGCTTTCGTTTCCACTTTCTGCCCCCACCCCCCACCTCCTTTGCCCCTCCTCTTGTTTGTTTGTTTAGTATAGGGTTTTACGGCGCTCGCAACTGCATAGGTCATATGAGCGCGCGAGACACATCTAATACTTTTTCGTTGGTAGGAAATTTTGAATTTTGCCCGGGTGGCGGCCGAAGCCTACTCTTATCGATTTTAGACCACCAAGGGATCTTTAACGTGCGCAACTTGCACACGGGCCCTCCGAGATTTTTCGCCCTTGTCCGAGAAGGCTAGGTGTAGATCTTTCCTACCAGAAGATCAGGGGTGTGGCAGAAAGACAGCAGTTAGGAGGAGCCAAGGAGTAGCAGTAGAAAGGCTGCAGAAAGAGTCAGGAGCCCAGAGGAAGGGGCAAAGGAGGTGAGGGGGTGGGGGCAGAAAGTGGAAATGAAAGCAGACAACAGAACATTGTTAGAGATCAGGAAAGGATGTGAAAGGAGACAATTTTAGAGAAGAAAATTTTTTGGTCGCTACCCGGAATCGAACCCGGGACCTTTGAATGAGAGGCCAACACCTTAACCTCTAGGCCACGAGAGCCCCCGCCCCTCCTCTGGGCTCCTGACTCTTTCTGCAGCCTTTCTACAGCTACTCCTTGGCCTCTCCTTACTGCTGTCTTTCTGCCACACCCCTGATCTTCTGGTAGGAAAGATCTACACCTAGCCTTCTCGGACGGCCCGTGTGCAAGTTGTGCACGTTAAAGATCCCTTGGTGGTCTAAAATCGATAAGGGTAGGCTTCGGCCGCCACCCGGGCAAAATTCAAAATGTCCTACCAACTGAAAATATTAAATGTGTCCCGCGCGCTCATATGACCTATGCAGTTGCGAGCGCCGTAAAACATTTTACACACAAAAAATTAAACAAATATGCACTTTTCGTCTTACAACAAAGGCTGTAGCCCCTTCACTGACAGAACCACCCTGTTTTCTCGTTTCCCAAAGTTTCAGGCTGTAAAGTCACGGAACTAATGACCCAAAGTTGTTTGATTTCGTAAAGTCACTCTGTGCAAGGGTGTAATAAGCGATGTGTTCTCTAGAAAGTGCAGACTGCTAGTGCAGTGTTCAGTGCGCCGTTTTCAATGTCCTGACTGTAGTTTACTTAATTTGCCCACATTGTAGGTTTGGTCGTAAGTTTAGGTTGTTTGGTTTTTGCTTGTTTGGGTTTTTGTTTGTTCGTTTATTGTTGCTCTTTGGTGTGTTTGTTGTTGTTGTTGTTTTCTTGATTAACTAGTAAGGAATGTTAGAGCTAGATTTAATGTAAGCCCTATTTCTGGCAAGAGACAATTTAAAACTGCATATGTGTTACTGCTCACTGCTTACTGGTC